TCTCAGTTTATGGGCATCTCTGTATTTAACAATTTCAAATGCATCAAATACGTAGTCCAATCACTCAACTGTAAAAAAATTTTAAGGTATTTTTATAACCAGTTATTTAGTGTTATTTTTGCCTCCCATCTTCCCATTCTAACCTGGTGGATTCAGTGATGACAACAGTCCTGTCCTGTGCTCTGAGGGCTTTTGTCACCTTGTGACACAGTGGCACATGATGCCTGGAGATTATGGAATTGATCAGAGATGCCACAGGAAGATAATTACTTTGCTGCAAAGGAAGTGCTGCTACACTGCACAGGTTAGTCTTGGGAAAACAGAAAGAGATAAGAAGGTTCCCACCAGCAAAAGGTCAAGAATCCAACTCATTCACACTCAACACTCAAATCTCATGCAATGCATAAAAACGTCTCGGCTTAACCGCTGCTACAGTTAGATTATAACTAGATAATACTGACAGTGAAAGTCTATTCTATTGTCCAAGATTATAATTTAAATGCATACTGTCATTGTTTCTCTAGGAAGTTTAAGGCGCTAAGTCTTATTGTCAAGAATATAATTGTCCTTGAGTGGTGCCAAGAAATGCAGAGGGAGCCTGAGAGCTGGATTCTAGTGATTTTTTTTTTTTTTTTTTTTTTTTTTGAGATGGAGTCTCACTCTGTCACACAGGCTGGAGTGCAGTGGTGTGATCTCGGCCCACTGCAAGCTCCACCTCCTGGGTTCACACCATTCTCCTGCCTCAGCCTCCCCAGTAGCTGGGACTGCAGGCGCTCGCCACCACACCTGGCTAATTTTTTGTATTTTTAGTAGAGACGGGGTTTCATCGTGTTAGCCAGGATGGTCTCCATCTCCTGACCTCATGATCCGCCTGTCTCAGTCTCCCAAAGTGCTGGGATTACAGGCTTGAGCCACTGCGCCCGGCCTCTAGTGATTTTTTACAATGAACAAAAGTTGCATTGTACATAGTGGAAAAAAATAGGAAAGATATATGTATAATGCTGGCATGCACCCTGCCCAAGATGAATGAGGAGAAAAGGTTGGATTCTGGGGTATCATTTGTGGACATAACTTTAGGGCTTAAATAGCCTCCAGATCCCCACCAAATGCCTAAGCCAGTGAGAGCAAAGTTGAAGTCACGGGAGCTTAGGGAGAGGAAGTGGCCACGTGGGAGAGGGAGTTGGGTAAAAATAGGATCCTGTCTTGATAAATTGATTTTCACCCCTACAATTCCTAAGTCTACGTTGTTATTTATAGTAATGCCTCTTAGCATCAACACCATACACCGCACATAAGACAAAGCGATAAAAAGCTGCATCAAAGTAAAGCACATTTTCAGAAAAAGCTGTCTGATTGGCCAAAATAATGGAAAAGTTCTAAAAAATTAGATAGATTTCTAAGAAATTGGATAGCATTCCACCTTTGGGTTATTTCTCAAATATATATGGAGCCAAGCAGTATGGAGCGAAGTTTATTAACTAGCAAGTCCTCTAAAACAGACATCAGGGACTTCAAGCTTTCGCCGTGAATGGAGTGACCACCCGTCTCCTGTTTGAACAGAAGGCCGCGTGTTTTCCATCCAGACAGGGTGAACCACAAAGGCCCTGAACTGAGCCACGTCCCTCCCCAAACAGAGGAAATGCGAGTGTTTCTCTCTGGGGAAATACACAACCTCCACCCCTCACAAAAAAGGCTTATGAACAGTGACATTAAAGATTCTACCACAGAAATGTCAACATATGAACAATCAAAACCTCATGTAAACATATAAACAGAGATTTTGATCAGATTTTACTGTCTCTCTCTCTTTTTTTTTTTTTTTGACGGGGTTCTCCCTCTGTTGCCCAGGCTGGAGTGCAGTGGCACCATCTCGGCTCACTGCAAGCTCCGCCTCCCGGGTTCACGCCCTTCTCCTGCCTCAGCCTCCTGAGTAGCTGGGACTACAGGCGCCGCCACCATGTCCAGCTAATTTATTTATTTATTTATTTGGTATTTTTAGTAAAGACAGGGTTTCACCGTGTTAGCCAGGATGGTCTCGATCTCCTGACCGCGTGATCCACCCACCTCAGCCTCCCAAAGTGCTAAGATTACAGGAATGAGCCACCGTGCCCAGCCTTTACTATAAGTTTTCTAGAAACAAACTCTCCCATTCTTTGCTGATTGTCTAGAAACACCTTTATTTTCCTTTCACATTGGAGAGATGTTTTAATATCACATGAGCTTTCAGATTAGGTGTTATTTTCTTTCACACTTTGAAGATGTTAAACCATTGCATTCTGATTTCAATTTTGTTTTACTGTTGAGAAGTTGATTAGTTTTATTACTGCTTTTTTTTTTTCTTTGTGAAAGGAGAGGCTTATTTCTGGCTGCTTCTATTATTTTCTCTTTGATTTTGATTTCACCAGCTTTACCGAGATTCACCATTGATGTGGTTGTCTTTGTATTTATTCTGCCTGAGAGTCATCGAGATTTTCTTTCTGTCGTTTGATGTTTTTTTTTTCTAATAAGTTTTAGGAAATTCTAGTCAAATGACTGGATGGTAAAGGAGTGGCATAATCAATTGCTAGAGATTATTTTGGTTTTAAAGTAAATGAAAAGTGTGAAAATATTAGTAAATTATTAAAGTAAAAATTAAAATATCTGGGTTCCACATCCAGTTTGTCATCAAGTAGTTATATGGGGGTGAATATTTAAGCTTTTTGTATTACCTTGCTTGATTTCTAAAATCAAACATTGATTGCATGATTGTTAGACTTTCTGCCAGTTCTAATGTTTTATAATTTTTTTCTTGTAAATTAATAATGAAGGGGTATAAGTTCTCTTGAAAAGTTGGCATCATACTAACTTTTAAAAATATGCTTCAGGAAATGCTATCATAAGAGATAATGGAATTCATTTGTCTATTTTTGTCTCAGCATTTTTTCAGTAGAAAGAATTTGTGATAGTTTAGTTTATATCATTATTAAAGATGGGGAAAGGATTATACTAACTCAAGTGACCTTCAGGTTCTCAGACCCTAAGAACCCAATACAGTACAATGTTTTGTGCTTGACTTTTTAAAATATTGCACCACATTTTCAATAAATAAGCAGTGAAACTGCCTGTGGCCCCGGAGAAAGATTACCATCTCTTATTAGAAAATCTTAGGTTCTTAATGACCATATTCTCGAGTGTGCTAGTGTGCAACCATTTGTCTGTTCTAGTTACAACATTTGGTCTAAAAGCACTGCATCAAAACGATAACGCTTCACATACTTCTGAATTATAACCCTAGTCTATAGTAATTGCCTATTTGTTTCCCACTCACTTGATTAGCTGTCCTTTAGCATTTTTCTCCTGTTTACTGCCTCACTAATCTGTCTGAATCTATAAACCCTAATCAAAATACCAAGCACTTTGAATGTTAAAAAAATACACAACATGGCCTGTTTCGCATGCTAAATCTATCTGAACTGGAAGCATTAGGTATGTGATCTAGATACATTATTCCAGAACTGAAAGTAAAGAGATTATACTGGCCTCTGGAAATGACCAACCACCAAGCTAAAGTTACAGTATTTCCAAACCATCATTCTTAAAATGAAGAAATCATAAATCACTTTTACATTCTTTAGTTCATCTAGAATCATGTGACTTCATGTTTGAGATTGACTTCTGACATAATCTAGTCCAAAATCTTTATCGTATAAATGAAGACCTAAGTGTGTAACTGACTTTCCCTAGACAGCACAATTAGTTGGTGATAGCACCAAGGATTAAAATTTAAGTAGTCTGATTACTAGTGTAATAATCTTGCTACTTCACAATGTTGCCAAAGTAACTTCCGTGAAGTAAATATCAGTTTCTCCTATTACTGTATTTTATTGACATCAAAGACTCCATCAGTTGTCAGATGTATTATTACTTCATGTACACTAAAGAACATTCCTGGCGAGGTTTGACGTGATGTCTTAATAATAATTCTACATAATTTAGTCATTTAAGATTCATGTGTTCTTGAATTTCTTTTGTCTCTTTCAAGACATCTAGCAATCTCCCCCCGCATTAGTTGCGTTGTACCTGGATCAGTAACCTAGCATAGCTTCATCTGCTTGTGGGAATCCTGCTATCTTCGGTCTTCTAAAACACTTGGGTTTTGTTCCAAAAGAAAAAAAACAGAATGGAGTTCATTCTTTAGATGCTAAATATTTGTTTCAAAAATATCAAATGCATGCATCACCTCTGTGTTCTAGTAACTTTCTGCAAAGACATTTTTTTTGTTTTCATGCTGAACCATAGTGTAACCTATTTTGAAGATATCTTCTACGACAGTTGAGCCCAGCACTTGTAGTATTAACCATGCACACCATCAACTGAAGTGACAATGTGCCATGGCTGCTACTTGGCCAACAGCAATGTATCAAATACTAGATTTAACCAGGTGTCCGAGTTGTGACTTAGAACTGATGAAATAAGGCCGGCGCGGTGGCTCAAGCCTGTAATCCCAGCACTGGCCGGGCGCGGTGGCTCAAGCCTGTAATCCCAGCACTTTGGGAGGCCGAGGCAGGCGGATCACGAGGTCAGGAGTTCAAGACAAGCCTGGATAACATGGTGAAATCCCGTTTCTACTAAAAATGGAAAAAATTAGCTGGGCGTGGTGGCGTGTGTCTGTAATCCCAGCTACTCAGGAGGCTGAGGCTGGAGAATCGCTTGAACCCGGAAGGTGGAGGTTGCAGTGAGCCAAGATCGCACCACTGCACTCCAGCCTGGGCAACAGACCGAGACTCCGCCTAAAGAAAAAAAAAAAAAAAAAAATATATATATATATATGTATGTGTGTGTGTGTATATATATATAGAGAGATACATACATACATATATATCTATTCTCCAGAAATCTCCAGAATCTTTGTGTGGTCAGGGTGAGAGGCACCACCACGATGTAAACACAACAGCTGAGTCCTCCAGGTAGGAGCCAGGTGCAATCCGCAAGACCGTGAGCGTGGGAGAGAGTCAGAGGCGCTTCCTCAAAAGGCATCCCCTGTCTCCGGCAGAGCGCACAGGCCCCAGGGCCCCGTGGGCAGGGCTGGTCCCGGTGCAGGCAGGCCACTTCCTGGGGTTGGGGGGTGGTGCGCCAGAGGTTGCCTGCAGCAGGAAGCCCCCGCAGACGCCAGGGCCTCTTGTTCCACTTGGCAGAGACCCCAGAAGGAGCCAGGGGGCAGCATCAGAGCCTGGGGCCCAGGCAGGGGTGCCCAAGGGCACAGCAGCTGCAGGCCATTGGCAAGGCCAGAAGACGGGGAGTGGAAAGCTGGGGGCACGTGGAGAGACACCCCAGGAAGGGGCTGTTTGGCGGCGGTTCTTGCATTTGCCGTTTGTGTTTCATCCGGCGATTCTGAAACCAGGTTTTTATCTGCAGGAAAACCAAAATCAGAGCAGAGGTGAGACTAGGCCACCGGCCCACCCTTGCCCACCCCAGCCCGGCCCTCCTCACCTGGACCTCTGAAAGCTGCATCTCCCTGGCCAGCCTCTTCCGCTCAAGAGGGCTCAGGTACTGGTGGTGCTGGAAGACGCCCTCCAAGGTGCGGACCTGCTCCGTGGTGAAGGCTGTGCGGACACGGGGGCCCCGCAAGGTATTTGGCTCCTTACTCAATCCTGGCATAGAAAGTAACAGCATTTGGCTGAGCCTGCCACCCCGTGGGGCAAGCCCCGCCCACGGGTAACAGGTGAGGACAGCCATGTTGGGGGCTGGGCATGGCAGATCTTCTCACCTGACAGTGACCAGCAGCCCTGCCGCAGCCTCCAGGTCACGTGCGTGTGGAAAGGGGCTCAGAGAGGTGACTCAGGGGAGGGGGAATGCTACCAGCAGCTTAGGCCTGCCCTCCACTCGGCTGGCTCAGCTCACTCAGTTCGGCCCCATCCCACACTTCCCTTCCAGAAGCCGGTTCCCAGGATGCCCTTCCTGCAGACTTCCAGGCAAGTACGGTAGAGTCCATTACATGCAAAGGCCTGGGGACCCACCCAGGGAACTCAGTCCCTATCCTGGGCTCCGGCTCCTCAGCCAGCAGAGTCCAGCTCAGTTAATCCCCAGGCCCATCTTGGTCAAGTCTGTTTTCTAATTTCTAAGTTAAGGAATGGGGGCTGGCACTAAACAACCCCACAAGGTGGTCTGTGGTCTGGGTCCCAGGAAGGAGGCCAACGTGGCGAAACGAGCTCAACATTTAACGCAAGTCTGACCCAAATGCTCACTGGAGTTTCTGCGGAAGGAAGCGTATTTTACAAAATCTGTCTTCACGTTAGCCTGAAAGCACACGGGAGATCCAAAAAGCAAAAGCCTTGTGGCAAGGAGGGCTGTAGGACTGGGATCAGGAAGGGGGTTGGGGGACAGGAATGGCTGGCTTTTTTGGGGTGGGGCAGGATAGCTAGCTGAGGAGAATACATTTAAATTTTCATTTCCCTTAAGTACAAAGTTACTTCATAAGGATCAGTCAAATTTTTAAAAATGAAAACTTACAATGTTAACCCCACTTTTGACCAAGTACTACTTTCAACCTAAGAGCGGCAACGATGTCACAAAGACTAAAACACAAACGCGGAGAACCTTTGTTCTCAGCAGACAACAGAGCATCTCTGGGCCACAGACCGAACTTCAGAGTTTCTGCAGGCACCGGGTCACCTCCACCCCTACAGCAAACCTGCAGGCTCTTTACAAGACAGCTGTGCTCCAGGTGGCCTGGAATGAGCTTGAGCCTAGATGCTGAGCAGGCACCGGCTTTGCTGGGGGCAGGGGGGGGTTGGCAAATCGTCGGATCCCCGGAACTGGGTCCCATGGTTGCGGGGCTGGAACACCAAGGGCACAGGTGCCCGCGCCCGAGCTGTGTTTCAGTGAGCGCCCGGAATCTGGGCAGAGAGGTGCGGACAGGGACCCCTTGGACAGTCCCTCGGCACCAGGCCGCGGTGGGGGACAGGGACACAGCTGAGGAACGGGGTGCCAAGGGAGGCAGAGGAGCCCACCGGGGGCTCACGGAGAGAAAATCCCCGTCTGGTTTCGAGGGAAGCTGTGCTCCAGTGAGGCGCAGGCAAGGCCTCCGCCGGCCCTCCTGGAAACGTCCCCGGCCCTGACCTCGTCCGCCCCGCACCGCGGGGAGTTCAGCCACCGGGCTCCTGGCCTCTCCCCGACTCCCATCTCCACCTGGGGAGGAAGGGACCCCCCGCCCGGACCTACCAGCCACGGTCCTCTCCGGCGCAGGCAGATCTGAGGACGTGGCGGCCTCCTTGATGCTGATGGCCTGAGGGGGCTCCCGGCCCGGGCCAGGGAGGCTCGCCGGGGAGACGTCGGCAGGCCTGGGGGTGGGGGTCAACCCTGAGCAGCTGCTCTGGGAGAGCCAGTCCACAGAGCCAAAGCTGGAGGGCTGCTGCTGGCCACGAGGTGGGGAGGAGGAGAGGCGCATGGCGGCCAGGTGGGCCGGAGGGAAGGCCGGGCGGGGCTGGCCAGGCGCAGGATCCACCTCCGGCCTCGCCGGGCGGCGGCGTTTATAAGCCCGGGAGGAGGGGGCGGGAGCCCGGTTTGCATACACGGCTAATGCCCAGATGTGCAGGGCCTAATTGCCTTCGATTCAGAGACACAAAGGAGACCGTTCACACCTCCCCGGCTCCTCCGTGTCTGGGGCAGGGGCGGGGCTGCGGGCCCTGGTTAATGGAGAGGGGACGGTTCGGGATCGGTCACCTCCTTTCATCTCTTCCAACCCCCACCCCGCGGGCCGAGGCTGCTGGAAGGTAGGAGGGTCCCGCTCCCACTCGGGCCTGGCCTGGGCGGTGCCGGGCGACCTCTCCTCTCCAGGGGGACGCTGGCGCCTGTGCCCAGCCCGGACACCCGAGGGCGAGCAGGCTTCAGGCTGGGAGAGTCAGGGCGGACTCAGCCGGTGCCCGCGTGCGCTGCGTCCAGGCTGTGCGGTCGCGCAGGAACCGAGGGACGCTTTCCGGGAAAGACGCGGAGGGCTCGGGGAGCGGCGCGTGGGGACGGCAATGTCGGAAGGGGCCTCTCGGGGCACTCGTCCGCTTCCAGCCCTAATCCGGCTCCTCTGGGGGACTCACTCCCGCGGTCATCGCAGCAGCCTCCGCATGCGGGCGCGGGCGGCTCCCTGACCCCATCCGGAGCTGGAAGGGCCGGAACCACTGCCTCGCGCGGCGGGGTAGGAACTCCGCTTCGGCTCCGGGACTGGCGCGTCCCCGCCAAGCTGGGCTGTCCCCACTGCGGCCAGGGCGGGGGCAGAGCCGCCGGGGACTGTGGAGCCCAAACCTCACGGGGACGCCCTGAGCACGGGCTCCCGGGACGGTCATCGCGACGCGCGGCCGCTGCTCCCGCGAACCTCAGTCCCGAGTTGTTTGCGTCTCCGCGTCCTGGGCGTCCCCGGGTCGCCTGCGCCGTCGGGGTGGGGCGCGGGGACCAAAGTGGCCGGGTGGGAGGCAGCCACGCTGCGAGCGTTCCCTCCGGCCTCGGACCCGCTCCCCGCGCGCCGGGACACACGGACTCGCGCTGCGCCCACGCCGAGGGTAGGACGGTGTCTTCCGCGCACTCGCTTGGGGTCCGCACGGCGTCTCCGGCGGCCGGGGTTAGGCGCGGGCGCAGGTCCGGCCCCCGAAGCCATGCGGGGTTTCAGCGCAGACCGGGTCCAGGGTCCTGACCGCGGTTGCCTCAGCGCCCACCCCGCTCTCCGAAATCAGAAAGACCCGCGAGCCTCGCCCCACAGTTACGCCCAACCCGGCTATCGGCGCCTCCCGGGCTGAGAGAAGAGGGAGGAGCCCGGGAGGCGGGCGCTGGGGCGGGACCTCAGCGGGGAACAGGTGGGTCACAGGTGACCGGGTCGGGGAACGGACCGCGCCGCCGCTGACCCTGGTCTTCCTCGGACTCTGCCGACCCAGTTAGGTCACTGGGCCCTCAAGGGGGAGGCTGGCAGGGGTGGGGCGCTGGGGGCTTTGGACGTGGCCTCGGGGATAAAACCAGGAGGGCTGGGGGGCCAGGAAGGCGGCCTAGACCCCCTCCCCACTTCATCTCCGGAGAGACCGGGTCACCCCTGGTAGAGGGGATTTGAAGCCACTGCACAGGACCAGGAGAGTGTTCCGGCCAGGGGCAGCGAGGGCCCAGATGCCTACGGCCACAGGGCTGGCCCCGAGGATGCCCCATGAGGCAGGTACCCAGCCCTCCCGCAGTGGGAGCGGCCCTGCCACCTGGGAGCAGAGGCCCTGAGGGTGGGGGCTGCGGCGGGGCGGTGCCTCAAAGTGGAGCAAAACACAGCACACCCTCACCTCCCACCCCGCCCCCCAAACACACACAGAACTTTCGACAGGCAGGGAAAAGGCCCAGAAGCATCCCTTACATAAAGAGGAAACCACGAGCATGGATTTGTGAAACGCCAGCACCCAGCCTTCCATTTCTCCATCTCTAATTTCCGGGGGCCCGGGCCCCGGGGTCTCAGCCACCTTCTGCACGTGGCTCAGCCCCCCCACCCCCAGCTCTGCAGAGAGCTCCTCCTGCCAGTTTCCCAGCTCCCCCGCACCACCTCCACCTGAACCGCCCTCTCCGACCCCGCCAAGTCCGAAGGCAGCCTCACCTTCACACGGCAGGGTCAGACAGCCCCTCGTCCTGGGCCCCCACCCCAGCCCCTCGCTGCGGCTTGGGTGGCCCCTCTCCCCTGGCGAGCGGCCCCACCGCCGTGGCTCAGGCCCCCCCGCCTCCTGCAGCCCGGGCCTCTGCCTCCACCCTCCCTCCAGGGCCCGCGGAGGCTGCTCTAGCCCAGGTCTGGGGTCACCAGAGCCTCCGCCTCGGAGCCTCCGTCCGCCCCCAGCTCTGGGACGCGTCCTGATGCGCCGCCATGGGTAGGAAACTTGGGCGCTCCTCCGCCTCCTTCCTCCCAGCCCCTGGGGCAGCCCAGCCCCGAGAATTGCGCCCTGCACGCCTCACAGCGTGGTCCCCGCGGGGGTCGCCCCATTCCCCACCCTCGGGGTCCAGGCCGGGTTGCGCTGGGCAGGAAAGTCCCGCGTCACTCCCAGGCTGGCAGCCCCGCCCCCACGCACAGCCCGGAGCCCAACTAGTCCCCGAAACGGGCTCCCCCCGAGTCCACGGCCTGAGGACAGGCACCGGACCTAGCGCGTGCTGTCGCCGGGTCCAGACCGCCCTGCTCCCGCCGGCCCCGTCACGACTCGCTCAAGCCTCCTCCGAGCACTCTGAGACCACCTGAGGGGGAGGCCCCAATCCCCCCCAAACACCCACCCCCGCGGCCTCGGCCTCCCTGACACCATCGCATTCCCTCTTCCCGACACCCCCGCGCTTCCCCGTCCCCAAAACCCTCACGCTTCCTCTTCTTCTGGGACATCCGTGCTCCCCACTCCCGGAGACATCCTACACTTCCCCCTCCCCGACGCCCACCCTCTTCACCCTCCCCTAGACATCCACGCTCTCCTCTGACACCCCTACACCCCGCTCCCCGTCACCCCCATGTGCCCCCCTCCCCGATACCCCCCACGTCCCCACCTCCACACGCCCCTCTCCCCCACACCCCCATGCTCCTTCCCCCTACACATCCTCGCGCCCCTCTCCCCGACACCCCCACGCTCCCCCTCCCCTACACTTCCACGCGCCTCACTCCCCAACACCCCAAGCTCCCCCTCCCCGACACCCCACTCTCCCCCACCCCTACACACCACACTCCCCACACCCCCAAACCCCCCCCCCCTCCCCCCCCCCCCCCCCCCCTCCCCCCCCCCACGCCCCCCTCCCCGACACCCCCATGTCCCCATTCCCCAACACCCCCACGCTCCCCACTCCCCTTCGTTTGTCCACTAGGAAGTGGTGCTGGTCTGGTTCCTGGGGGCTGAAGAAACGCTAAGCCGGCCGGCCGCGCGCGGTGGCTCAAGCCTGTAATCCCAGCACTTTGGGAGGCCCCAGGTGTGGATCACCTGAGGTCGGGAGTTCCAGACCAGCCTGACCAACATGGGGAAACCCCGTCTCTACTAAAAATACAAAATTAGCCAGAGGTGGTGACACAGGCCTGCAGTCCCAGCTACTCGGGAGGCTGAGGCAGGAGAATCGCCTGAACCTGGGAGGCGGAGGTTGCGGTGAGCCGAGCTTGCACCATTGCACTCTAACCTGGGCAACAAGACTCTGTCTAAAAAAAAAAAAAGAAGCGCTAAGCCAACAGCACACAGGAGGCTAATCCTGCCATGCCCGCAGACCGAGTTACTTATTTTGGAGACAAGCTTTCACTGTTGCCCAGGCCAGAGTGCCTCATGTGATCACAGCTCACTGCAGCCTTGACCTCTGGGGCCCAAGTGATCCTCCTGCCTGAGCCTCCAGTGAAGCTGGGACTACAGGTGCATGCCACCATGCCCAGTTAATTTTTGTATTTTTTGCAGAGATGGAGTTTTCTCATGTTACCCAGGCTGGTCTCAAACTCCTGAGGTCAAGTAATTCTCCTGCCTCAGCCCCGCAAAGTGCTGGGATTACAGGCATGAGCCACCGCATCCGGCCCCTAGATTGATTTAAACAGCCAAAATATACTCCCTGCACCAGATTAGAAAGCATTAGAGGTCCGGGGCCTGCATGTTCAGATTAATTATTCTGATACCGGGCTCAGGAGGATCACAGCACTTGGCCCCCGGCCCACTGCCTGAGCAGGAAGGGAAATTAATTCTGCTTGGTGCCCCTAAATGGCTCCAACCCAGAGGTGCGTCCTTCCTCCAGGGCCGAGTGTCCAGTAACCCCAAGTGATAGAGAGGCACAGCCCCCACCCTTAGGGTATTGGTGTGTTTGCTGGGATGTGGCTGTCGGGACCTGGGCTTGCCGTCAGGCATAAGCTTCTGGAGCGACAGGGTCATGTAGGGTGCACCTAAGCTCTGTTTCAGACCCCACTGTGGCCCCAGCCCGTGACTCTGACCTTTGGGGGCTGTGTATGTGAAGGGGAATGTCTGCAAGCTTGGCTCATCCAACAGGTTTTTAGCAGCTTGGGGATTCTCAGGGAACACAGCAGGGTGGAGCTGATGCTAGACTTTTTTTTTTGAGACAGGTTCTCACTGTCACCCAGGCTGGACTGCAGTAACACAATCTGGGCTCACTGCAGCCTTGACCTCTTGTGCTGAAGCAATCCTCCTACCCGTTACCCTGAATACTTGAAACTACAGGTGCATGGCACCATGCCCAGCTATTTTTTTGATTTTTAATAGAGATGTGCTCTCACCATGTTGCCCATGCTGGTTTGAAACGCCTGAGCTCAAAGTGATCCTTCCGCCCAGGCCTCCCAGTGTTGGGATTATAGGCGTGAGCCATCAAGCCTGGCCTAGAGTGTCTTTTTTTTTTTTTTTTTTTTTTGAGACGGAGTCTTGCTCTGACGTCCAGGCTGCAGTGCAGTGCAACCTCCGCCTCCCGGGTTCAAGCGATTCTCCTGCCTCAGCCTCCTGAGTAGTTGGGATTACAGGCTCATGCCACCACGCCTGACTAATTTTTGTATTTTTAGTAGAGATGGGGTTTCACCAGGTTTGTCATGCTGGTCTCAAACTCCTGACCTCGTTAGTGATCTGCCCGCCTCTGGCTTTCCAAAGACCTGGGATTACAGACGTGAGCCACCGCGTCTGGCCTTAGAGTGTGTTTTTGTTTTTTGTTTTTTTTGAGACAGAGTCTGTGTCGCCCAGGCTGGAGTGCAGTGACGAAATCTCAGTTCACTGCAACCTCTGCTTCCCGGGTTCAAGCAGTTCAATTCTCCTGCCTCAGCCTCCTGAGTAGCTGGGACTACAGGCACGTGCCACTATGCCCAGCTAATTTTTGTGTTTTTAGTAGAGATGGGGGTGCACCGTGTTGCCCAGGCTGGTCTCGAGCTCCTGAGCTCAGGCAATCCACCCGCCTCAGCCTCCCAAAGTGTTAGGATTACAGGCGTGAACCACAACATCCGGTGCCTCAGTGTCTTAAATGAGGTGAGGCTTGCAGTCAGTTCTTGCAGGCGTGGTCTCACAGGCCTTCCCCTCAGACCTGGGCAAGCCGTTCATTTCCCCAGGAGCTGCCATTAGCACTCACGGGACCTATTCTTCCGGAGCCCCAGAAAGGCATGTGTGGGAGGGGCTGCAACTCCACCACCCACAGGGAACCCCTCAGGACTGCTGGGTGCTGGGCCGGTGGGGACCCGCAGCCCCATTTAGCTGCATGGCCCTGGGCAAGCCACTTGTCTTTCTGGATGGGCCCGCTAATTTGCAGGTATTGTTATGCCAGCGGAACTCCTACAGGCTACATTTGTATCTCCGGCTCCACCCAAGCCCCCTTCTGACTCAGGGGTCCAGGGTGGGGCCCTGTATTGCTACTTGGAAATTGCTTCCCGGGCAGGTTTGCTTCGGTTTTCTCAAAATTGTCAGGGCCCTGCCCTCAGCCTCTGCCCAAGGATCACGCCACAGCCACTCAGCGCCTCCCTGGGCCCACCCAGACCAGCCGCCTCCCTGGAGACAAAACCACATTCTCCCTGGAGCTGTGTGGCTCCTCTTCCTCTTTTGTCGCCCTGGACCTGGGAGAGTTCAGCCAGGTCGTTCAAGACTGCCCAAGGCTATGGGAGGACCTTGGGAACGCCCCAAGCTACTCCTGGGTCAAAGGGGGTTCTCTGCTTGGCAGTGTGGAGGCCGCCACTCTAACCCCCATCCCTGCACTGAGTCAAGGGGGGCGGTCAGCCTCAGTTTTTCTAGGGACCCCCAGCGGAACTCCCCCTCCCCCTCCGTTTTACTCAGTGGGGCTCCCCAGGAGGACAGGGAGAGTCTGGTGTGGCCCTGAGAACCGGGTGTGTAACCAGGACCCGGCAGAAAGCACCACGCCCACCAGCCTCGAGCCTGGACTCCTGGGCCTACATCTGGACGCGCCCCACGGAGCTCCGTCCACACCTCAGAAGCGAGTGGGAGCTCCTCTCTGTGTTGAGAGTGTTGCAACCCTGCCCTGACCTTTGCAGCGCCAGCGCTTCCGGGCGCCACTCCCTCCCCGCCTGGAGACCCGCACTCCTCCACAGCCCGGACACTAGGAAAACAATCTTTTTATTGAACGGACCCAGGAGCGGGGGTGGGAAGGCAGCAGGAGGGGGCAGGGCGGAGGGGCCTCGGCCTGGGAAGGGGAGGCTGGCCGCAGCCGGGACTCACTGGCACGGGTCCCTGAGGACCCCTCGCTCGGCGGCCGCGCTGCCCAGAATGAAGCCCACGGCCAGGGACACCGTCTGGTCGAAGGCGCCGCGCAGCTGCTCCACGTGCTGGTTCAAGGTCAGCAGCTGGTCGCGCAGCGGGCCCAGGATGTTCGCGATGTCGCCCAGGTGCCCCAGGGTCTGCAGCAGGGCGGTGTTCAGCGACGGGGGCGCGGCCGGAGGGGGCGCGCAGTCCTCGGGGCGGCCGGGCGGCGAGTCGGGGTCTTCACGGGCCAGGGGCGGCGGCGGGGAACCCGGACCGCGGACGGGCGTGCGGTCCTCGGGGATGCAGGTGGCGAGAGCGGTCGGGGCGGGGGCTGGCGGGGATCTGGGGGCGCGGGAGGTGTCGGTAGACTTCGGCGGGGACGGGCTGAAGCGGAGCGTCCAGGCGGGGTCCGCGTCGGGGTCGCGGGCGGTGGGCAGCGGAGTGGCGTCTGGGATCGCGGAGAGGGCGGTCGGGCGGGGATTCGGGGGGCGCGCCCGCCCCTCCCCCGCAGCCCTCGGCCCCATCCGGCCCCCCAGACCCCGCTTACCTGGTTCGGCCTGAGCTGGCGCGTGCGCGTTGGGGGCCGGGCGGCGGCCGCGCTGGGGGCGCCCGGACCCGGGGGAGCGGCGGCGGGGCCGTTTGCGCCCGTTGTCGCCCAGCAGCCCCATGAGCTTCCGGATCTGCTCGTCGAAGGGCCCGGGCGGCTGGCCGTGCGCCTCGCGAAACTTGTCCTTGAGGAACTTGTAGCGGCGGCGACACTGCGCGGGGGTGCGGCGCACCTGCTGCCGGGCCAGCGCGGCCGACACGCGGCGGTAGGTGGGCAGGGCCTGGCGGCGGTCCAGGAGCAGCGCGCGCCACACGGCCGGTTGCAGCAGCGTCCCCAGCAGGAGCTCCGTCTCCTGGGCGCTCCAGGGCGTGCGCTGCGCCGAGCCCGGGGACACTGGCAACCCGAGTTCCCCCAGCGCGCTGGGCGAGGCGGGCCTCCGGGGCGGGGTCCCTGGGACGTCTCCGGGAGGCCGCGGCTCGGGGTCGGGGCTGGCGGGCGACGGCGGCGCGGGGGGCGCGAGCGGGGGCGGCCTGCGGGGCCGCAGCAGCATCCCTGGGCCGGGGCGCGACGCGCGAAGATGGAGAGAGGGTAGGACGCCGCCCGGGCCGCCCACACGCGTTCTGAGCACCCCGCGCCGCCGTCGCGCCGTCCGAGCCGGGTCTACACGACCCTCCCACCGTCCCCGCCCCGCCCCGCGCGCCCCGCCTCGCCCCGCCCGTCCGCCCGCCGGGTCCTAAGGGGTCCGTCCTGGCGCCGCGGCGGGGAAGACAGAGCAAAGCCTGGCTTCGGTCGGAAACAGAGTCCGCAGTGGTTCTCTCCTTAAAGGCGTTTAACGGAGGCGCAGCGATGCCTGAGCCCCGTTCGCTTTTAGCCGGTGCCGAGCCCCCCCCCCGTCCCCTTCGAGGTGTGTGCGGAGCCCCTCCCGCTCCGGAAGGCGCTGGCGCCCCCTTGTCCGGACCCCAGTGCTGCCCGCGCCCCCAGCCCGGGCTCAGCACCTGCACGCGAGGGGTCCCGAGGACCGCCCGGGTCTCAGTGGGAGTTGCCAGGCCAGGGGCTGGGTGGAAGGAGAAGCCACGCCAGCCGCGGAAATGGGCGTCGGAATTCGCGCGCTCTGCAGAAGGAACTTTTTAAATCTGAATTTCTTCCGTCTGCAGCGCGTCTGCAGCCAGGATCCCGGGAGGAGGAAATCCTCTTCCTCTTCGCCGCAGGGCGCCGAGTCCTTCTGTCTCCTGGGTGTCCTCTGGGCCGTGGCAGCTTCTCGCGTCCTCGACACGGTTGAGGACGGGCCAGGTGTTTTGTTGAATGTTCCTCGACTTGGGTTTGCCTGGGGTCTTCCTGCGATCGGACTGGGGTGGTCGGTTTCTGGAAGGAAGGCGCAGGGGTGGGGTCTCGCCCTCCTATCCGGTGGCTCAGCACCGGTGAGGTCCGCTCTGTGGATAGGTGGGGACTGCCTGCCGGTCTTGCACTGCTCAGCTACCGCCGCTCCATCCCTGCTGCGGTCACTGGTGTCCGGTCCCCCGGTCCATCCCCAACCCCTGGGGAGAGGAATTAGGCCCCACCTCCTGGAGGGGTGCCTGTGTTTTCTGGGATTCTTCTGTAAGGTGGTTTGTCTCTCACTTGTTGATGTATCTACTCATTTATTTCTACAGTGTGGGCTCGTGTGTATTTATTTTATTCCTTAGGTCATAACCCAATGCTGTTATTATTTATTTGTTTTAAAAGTTCTGTTTGTTTTTGTTCTTTTTTACAGATGGAGTCTCGTTCTGTCACTCAGGCTGGAGTGCAGTGGCCCAATCACAGCTCACTGTAGCCTTGAAATCTTGGGCCCAACCGATCCTCCAGCCTCAGCTTCCTCGGTAGCTGCGACTACATGTGTGCACCACCACACCCAGCTAGTTTTTTTTTTTTCTTTTACTTTTTGTAAGGACAGGGTCTTGCTATGTTGCACAGGCTGGGCTTGAACTCCTGGGCTCAAATGATCCTCCTGCCTGGGCCTCCCAGCGTGCTGAGATTACAGGCGTGAGCCCCTGTACCTGGGTTTTATTTATGTTTGCTCAGATTGTTCCCACTTTGGCCATTGAAACTCTTCTCACCTCTTCCTCTCTTCCTGTATCCTTTTGAAACCTCCCTCCCAGCTCCCTGGCACTACAGGATGCTCCTGCCTCATCTGGTCCTTTGCTGACCCTGGTCCTAGAATCAGCTTTTCAGACTCTTCTCGAGAAATCTGTGGTTCCTGGCCAGGCACTCATACACGTGGCTCACACCTGTATTCCTAGCACTTTGGGAGGCTGAGGTGGGCAGATCTCCTGAGGCCAGGAGTTTGAGACTGACCTGGGCAATATAGTGAGATCTCTATCTCTGCAAAAAATTAAAAATAACCCAGTGTAGTAGCAGGTGCCTGTAGTTCCAGCTACTTGGGAGGCTGAGGTGGGAGGATGTCCTTTTGCTCAGGAGATTAAGCCTACAGTGTACCGTGATCACCCCACTGCACTCCAGCCTGGGTGACAGGGCAAGACTCTATCTTAAAAAAAAAAGAAAAGAGGGGCGGCAGGCATGGTGGCTGTAATCCCAGCACTTTGGGAGCTCGGGAGGATCACTTGAGGTCAGGAGTTTGAGACCAGCCTGGCCAACATGGTGAAACCCCGTCTCTACTAAAAATACAAAAGTTAGCGAGGTGTTGGTTGTACACCTGTAATCCCAGCTTCTAGGGAGGCTGAGGCAGGAGAATTACTTGAACCTGGGAGGGGATCTCAAAAAAAAAAAAAAGCCGAGTGCGGTGACTCAAACCTATAATCCCAGCACTTTGGGAGGCCGAGGCGGGCAGATTATGAAGTCAGGAGATTGAGACCATCTTGGCTAACATGGTGAAACCCCGTCTCTACTAAAAATACAAAAAATTAGCCGAGCGTGGTGGCACGTGCCTGTAGGCCCAGTTACTCAGGAAGCTGAGGCAGGAGAATCGCTTGAACCCAGGAGGTGGAGGTTGCAGTGAGCTGAGATTGCACCACTGCACTCCAGCCTAGGTGACGGAGCGAGACTCTGCCTCAAAAGACAAACAAACTTGAAAGATTTTTAATAACTGAGGGTTGGGGGTGCTGGGAGCATCTGATGGGTGGAGATCAGAGATGATGGCGTGCAGGACCCCAGGGTAGACGGTCCAGCCCGCAGTGGCAGCTGCAGCGCACAGCACATGATTCCGTCTGGGACAGAGCCCGCCATGATTCCGTCTGGGACAGAGCCCGCCGTGATTCCGTCTGGGACAGAGCCAGGAAGTGTATGGCGTGGGCTGGCTGTGGATGCACATGTGTGATCATCATTAGGATACACGTGAGTTCACGTGACCTCTGACCCTCGTCCTGTGCAGTTGGCTCCTTCTCGCCTCCTGACTTGCTTTTCTGGAACTGCTTTCTTGGATGGTGGGGAGGCCCGGCTCCTGCACTGATGCAGCCCTGAGGTGCGTGGAAGGTGCCTTCAGAATTGCTGACCGCGTCCCTCTGAGAAGCAGGTTTGCTGCCAGAGCACGGTGTCTGTGTGTGGTCCTCGGCCCTTGCCTTGTTTTTCCCCGTTACTGAGGTTGGCCCGTCTCTGCTCCCATCAGCGAGGTGGTGTCACCCAGCTGCATCAGGGTCACCTGTCATAGTTTCTGTGATTCCGCCCTGGGGTTCCCAACATCCTGCTTGCAAAACAGATCTAGGTTTTCTTCTTAAAAAGTTGTTACAAATTTGTTGAACGTAAGTGTGCTGGATCTCGGAGTTCCAGCACAGCTCATAAAGACCCGCTTTTCTGAAAATAAGTCCAGAATTTGGGGGTGAGGCCCAGTTAAAGGCTGACCTTGGTCACACTGCTGCTGGTCATCGGTGACCGGCTGGTCCAGGGCAGACATCTGGCCCAAACTGGACTCAGCTGAGTTCTCCTCTAAGATTTTCCAAACTGAACCCAAGGAGGGACGTCCAGGCTCCGTGAGTTTTTGATAAAGACGGAGAGTTACAGTTATGCGTCCCTCACCCTGTACCGTATAGAACGACTCCGTAGACACGGAGAGAAGACCTGGCCTTTGTCAAATGCGATGTGCAGAGGGCAGATGGCGACGTGGAAAGATGCTCACATCATCGGCCACTGGAGAGCAGCCAGCATGGCTGACACCAGAACACAGGATTCCCGGGCCGGGAGACCGGGCGAATAGGTCGTGAGAGGCCGGCCAGCATGGTGGACACCGGAGCGCTGAGAACGTCCCGAACTGGCGAGGATGGGGCGAATCGGTCACTGGAGACCGGCCGGCATGGTGGACACCGGAGCGCTGAGAACGTCCCGAACCGGCGAGGACGCAGCGACAGGAACCCTCGTCAGTGCTGGCGGGAGTGCACGTGGTGCGGGCCCCGTGGGAAACGCTCTGGTGGTTTTTAAGAAAACTAAACATATTCTTCCCGCGGGACCCGGTATTCACTGTCCTTGGTGTTTACCCAAAGGAGTCGAAGACTTGTGTCCACAGAAAAACCTGCACGCAACCTTTATGGCAGCTTTGTTCGTCATTGCCGGAACCTGGACAGGGCTGAGAAGCCCCGGACGATGGTGCGCCCGGGCTGCAACGCGCCTCGGCCCTTAATTCATGCAGCAACAGGGACGAATCCTAAGTGCGTTTTGCTGAGTGGAAGAGCCAGCCCCAGAGGCCACACGCTGTGAGTCCATTTATGGGACTCATTTATGGGACATGCTGGAAAAAGCAAAGCCACGTGGGGGTGGGTGGGTACTGATCCGCGGTCACCAGGGGCTGGGAGCGGGGTGGCTGCAGAGGTATGTGTGTGGATGGAGCCACTGCAACAATTTGCAAGTTCAGACCCACCGCAGGCCACAGCTTTGGGGTCAGGTGGGGACACTCACGTCCCTGCACATCCCTTGGAAACAGCTCTGTGTGGGTGTGACCTGTCAACAACAGAACCACCACACACTCCCCACAGCGTGACCTGCCAATAACGAAACCACCATATGCTCCCCACGGTGTGACCTGCCAACAACGTAACGGCCACTGTTCCCCACGGGCCTGCCGTGCCGCTGCCGCACGCTCTCCATAGATGTGCTGTGGAGAAGCCAGGCCAGGAGGGGAGGTCTAAGTGCAGACGCACAGTGGGAATTCCCGCTGGCCTCACATCACGCTGTGGGTGTCATCAACGCAGGAACGACAGGACGTCGCGGTCCGTGGGTGAGCTGGCGCGTCCTGCTTTACACACAGGAAGCCAGGTCTCAGAGAAGGGACTCGCCCACTTTCACTGTATGAGTAGCACTTTGGGGGTCTTCCGTGGGGCAACCAGTGATTCCCCAAGAGCTTGGACGCCGGTGCCACCTCTCACGTGGGGGATCCCGTGGCTAGGAGCTTAGGTGAGGACCAGGATCCACTCATTTGTGTCCCTCAGGACTGGGGCAGGAGAGGGTGGCTCTGGCTGGTGATGCCAGGGCACTATTTCTGGAGCGAAGGCCTGGCTCTTTTGGGGACCCTCAGTCCTTCTCCAAGTGGCACAGGCTGGTGCTGGGGAGGCCCTGGGCCAGGCTGTCTGGGCAACTCTTTCTCCACCCAGCCTGCTGTTTGGCTGCCTTGGGCTTGCTCCCGGCACGTTGGCCTCGGGGAGCTCAAGCCCCGTATGTGGTGGTGGCTCCTGGAACAGTGGCCACAGGCCCTGGCCAGTGCAGGAGAGGCTCACATAGGGCGGGAGGCCAAGGAGTGAGGCTCACGGGGTTGCTGGTAAAGCTCTCCGAGAGAAAAGTCCTGTGCTCGGCGGGGCCGAGTTTATTGGAGCCACTGTGGTGAGGGGTCTGGCCTGCAGGGCATGGGGGGCTAGGATGCACACGTGAGCGGGACCCAGGGCCCCCTTTCCAGGGCAGCT